ATGACCAGAAATTAGCAACTGATCTCTCCTCTGACTTATCCCTGATGTCTCAGCTGGGGAAAAAAAAACTAGCTGGTTACATTCAGTACCTTGAAAACTAAACTAATTACATTTCATCACCACCGATCAAACCCTGAACTATCAATAATCACAATGAATGGACGTTCCCTCAGGAAGCGCCTTGAGTGCCTATTGGGCCATAAACTCCACCCAGATCTCAAGTGGAGTTTGTAAATATGATCCATTGCTAAAGAAGCTGGAAAAAAATGATAGGTTCCTTGTACTGCTCCAGTAAGTACCTGACTCTGCTTACTATCCTCTACCTTTACAAGAACCAGATCAAGCCTAAAATGGAGTAATGCTGCCATATATATGGACAGGACCTGCCCTGTCTTTACTTTCCAGTCCAAGAGTGTCTCTGTATCCTTATGGATGATTAATTATTTTCCACCCCACAACCCCTTTCTCACTGCTCTTACCATTTCCATAGAAAGTGCTCAGATGCACTACATTCCTTATTTTCACCATTTCTAACCTTCACAGTTAAGACTTGCCATGCTATGTACATTGTAGTGAACCACCTTCATTCCTGCCATATTTCATTGGTGAGAAGCAAGTTCCACTCCAGCTACTTCTTCCTGCGAACAACCACTGATCTGTGGGACTGAGTCCCAAGAGGGTGTTTTCCCAATCAATACACTCTTAACCTGTTCAAGTATAAGGTTAACCATTATCTTCCACATATATTTGCATAAACTCTGCCTCTTACTCTGTAACCCTCTAGCTGGAGTGACTCCAAGGCTTTGTACAGGGTGAACATCACTAAAAGAAAAAAAGAAAAAAGCTCTCTCAAGCATCTGAGTATTTTATTTATGCTATTTATATTTGGACTAAATAATGATAATTCCTCATTCCAGCAATTCAGACAAATTATCAAATCTGTACAGATTCAATGTGATACTTCAATGAAGATGGTAAAAGAAAACTCCAAAAATTAACATTCATTTCCAGATGTAGAGACCTGAATCTAGTTCCACAGGGTTAATCAATTAATATATATAGAGTCCAACAAAACCTGAATAAATCATACAACAAAGATGAGGACAATAGTTCAAATATAAATAGTGTAAATTATGATAACTCCTCATTCCAGAAATTCAGACAAATTATTTGGGTATTTGTCACTAAACATTTTTATGAATATAACTATGTGGACATTTTTTTTTCATCATTTCACTCCAAGTAAGATGATAATGCTACTAGGATGCATAGGATTACAGGGAGTGAAAAGGAGTTTGAAGACTTTAGGTTAGTAAAGAAATGGACAATAAAGGAACAGAGTTCAGGAAAACAGAAGATGGTGATTGACATGGCATTTACATTTTTGAAAATTGTAGGTGGCAGAAAAGCAAGAAATCTGAAAAGTTCCACAGGCAAGAAATGCAAGAAAAGAAATTATTAGAAAAGAACAGATTTATTTAGCTAGTTCAACAGTAATACCATGAAATATAGTTGCCAATCTAATAGTACACTAAAAATAAAATTCATGCAATCATGGTAGTAAGGAGAGCAGCTCATCAGAACAATTGCCATGAAAATATTTGTAGAAAAGACAGAATAGCTACATCATGATGGTTAGAAAGTGACTGAAGTCAAGATGCTAGGTCAGGTTTAATTACATTACATTACAGGCCTTTCTTTGAATTTTGTCAATCTTGAGATATATAGTACCAGATCAGATATGGCAGCAATATTCAATGCATGGGCAAGTAGTAGATTTATAAATGTACAAGAAGAATTGTCTGTCATAACATAGTGAACCAACATTCTGAGCAGTAGGCCTAGCAATTGACTCAATATGATCACTTCACTTTATGTCAGCGGGAAATGTTGAGTCCAAGAAGGTGCAAAGTATTGCTATCCTAGGCTTTAGAATCAACCAATGCTCATGGCAAGCAGAAAATGTTCTCTGTTGTAAATGAAAGCAGTTTTGGAGCCATAAAAATTTACAAGCCATTCCTTACCACAGTTAACCACTGATTGGATGTCCTTTTCAAGAATAGTTGCCACTTTATCAGATCTGTCAAACTGGCTAATAAGACAGGGGTAAATAGTTCTGTCATATGGATAGATACCTAGTTGGAAACTGATGACACTAGGAAGGTTGTTGAAGTTCAGAAACTTTGTAGTTCTGAGAAGAGAGCCCTGCGGGATCCATGCACTAATATGTTCATTCAGCACAATCTTCATTATAGAATTTGTTAGGATTAGGTTAGATATTCATTCAGAGATACCATAGCTCTTCAATTTGTGGAGATGGCCAACTTACCAAACCTTGTTGAATGCCTTTGAAGTATCTAGGGCTACAGCCTAAACCTTGCCATTCTTATCTAAAGCCTGATAGACAAATTTAGTAATAACTGTTAACACATTGGCAGTTGACTTAGAGAAGTAAAAGTCATATTGTTTATCTGAAAGAAAGCCATATAAAGTAAGATACTTAACCAATTCAGAATTGAAGAGAGCCTTTAGTACTTTACCAAAAAGAGGTAAGGGACTAATAGGGTAATAATTTGAGAGGGTCAGAAGGTTCCCCACAGTTTTCTTAAAAATAGGAACTACAGAGGACGACTTCCAACAAGCTGGAAATTAAGAAGCAGTGAGGAATTTATTGTAAAGCTTGAAGAGAACAGGAGCCAGTTCAGGAGCACATTTCTTTACAGGGATACCATCAAATCCACAAGATTTCTGGTGATCTAGTTTAGCAGAAATTATAGATGATGTCTATATCACACAGTAGAGAAACTGTTCTGGGTTGGGGGGGGGGATCAAGCAGAGATACTCCAGATAAGTTGAGAGTATATTTGAAAAAGAACTTCAGAGCAAAGCAAATTCAGTGGAGAGAGGAAGGACTGAGGATTTGCTCTTATTCAGTAGACACTTGCAGAGCTGCCAGTAATCTCTAGAATCAAACTTGTTAGAGGCTATATGGTGTCTCATTCTATCAGCAAATAGTGACTTTGCCTCTTTGAGGACATGCTTACACTCATTATGAGTGGGGACAAAGAAACATCTGTTACAATTGAACCTGTCGCTCTGTTATAGCTGAAAGAAGTGATTGCTATGGGCTATAGTGGCTAAACAGGCAAGAGAGAACTAGAGGGAAGATTATGATTTCACTTGGTATTTCCATTTCAATGCCGGCTTTCACCCAGGAAGCATGACATGAGTTCTGGGAGGAAGTAAGGAAGAGATCAAGTGGAGAAGCATGTCCATCAGGGTTAATAAGGAAATGTGGGGAGAAATCTTCAATTTCAGTAAGAGAATGAGCAATTGAGAAGTTCAAAATCTGGATGCCAGCAGTGTCATTAGTGATAAAGCCACTTGACATGATGGGCATTTAAGTTACTGAACAGGGATATTTGCAGAAGATTGTAGTGATAGGGCTTTTTCTCTATACTGTCAAATATTCTGTTTAGTAAACAACAGTCATTAGAGGAAGGGATGTGATAAAGGAATAAGAGATAACTGAGTTTACTAGGGAAAGTCAGAAGTACATTTAATAACAATCCAAAGACCCAAAAGACAGTTCCCTTGCCAGTGGGAGATGCTTGCAAACATGGTTAAGAATATAACAGTATTTTTTCCTCATATAAAATCCAGTGACATAAAACACACACACACACACACACGTTCAAGCTCTACCAAATATTGTATGTCAATGGTGCTTGCACAAAAGTTTAATTAAATTGTTCTTAAAGTATAGATTTATTTTGTGTTTGTGCAGAAATTCATTTCATCCTGTTAGCAAATTTCAGATTATTTGCCATGATTTTATCATAAAAATAGAAATCCAATTCCAATAAAGTTCCAATATCAAGCCATATTTATATAAAGGGTAATGAAAAAGTAGATCAACTAGGAAAAAACTTTTAACATGGAAATAACTAATATGAAAATTTTGTATACAGATTTTAAAAAGAAAATTAATGACTATAAAAAGCAAATGGCTAACAATATAGGATACATTCTTAGAAAACAAACTTTATGAACACTAACCAATTGTCAGAAAGGAAAACACAAAACAACTAAAAAGGGTGAAGAGAGTACACTGCTAACTAGAGTTTGTATTGGACATACAAGACTAACTCCTGTACACCTGCTAAGAGTTGAAGATGTACTTTGATGCAACCATTAATATCATCGATTGACGGTTGAGCACATTCTGATTGAATGTAAAAGTTATCAGCTTAAACATAGTAAATACTACAATGTTACAAATATATAAAAACATTGTTTAAAGACATTGCCCCTGGCCTAGTATCTGGCCAGGAGAAACATCTTTAAACAATATTTCTTAAAAAAAAAAAAAAATAGGAATTTTTAAATTCCCTTAATGTATTGTTTATGTATGGGTATATAAGGACAAATTAAACAATTTATTGAAAATGAATTGTAGCTACCAAACTGAGCCCTTCCAACTATTGGAAAAAAAAAATTGTATATATATATATATATATATATATATTATATTAGTTAGTGCAAAAATAATGACGTAATGATGTCGTTTTTTGACATTAAAAAATATATCCAAAAACGGCATTATTACGTCATTATTTTTGCACCAACCTTATATATTCACCTGGGTGACATAAAATGACCTATCAGTGTTGACATGATGTCAAACAACATCTAACCAAACCAATAAAGTTCATTTACTGCTAGGAACTGTGGGTTAAAGATACATAAAGTATCTATGACCTTATTGACTCACTATTTCCATTTTTAAAAATTTTTTTTTTTTTATTGATAATTCTTCTTTGTAGTTTGATACATGATCATTCCATAGAGAAAATACATAAAATAGAAGTTTGATAAAGAGAAGTAAGAAAACAAAAACAACTTCCTTCATCTTAGTATATAGTAGTATATAGATATGCTACAGTGCAATCACAGTTACCTATTGATATATTTTCCACCTCTTAATTTCTTTCTTTCAGAAATGTTATGGCCTGAGAATCTACGATCAGTAGTAAGAAATGTTATTGATGCTGACTGGAAACAACTTTACCCTCTTCGGGAAGATGTCAATCTTCAATTATTTCAGCCCCTGGCTGAGATTCATGCCAATATCAATTTCGACAAACAGTTCAAGTTGAATGAAAAACAAGAGGTCAGTAAAAACAATTTATATGTGGGGCCTTGTGGGGTGGGGAGGATGAAAATGTAAAGATATTTATTATGTTAAATAAACATCACTTCATATGTCAAAAAGTTATTGGAGAATCTGTGTAAACATTTTTTTTTTCCTGTCAGGGTGTGTCCAGGTAAGTTATTGTGTCATTAGTAAACTGTTGTGAATATTTTAACACTAAAAGGAAGCAAAAACAATTGAAAACAAACAAAACAAAAATGCTTAATATATGTAAAGATATCCAAAGCTCGGATAGAAAAAAAAGTTTTGCAAGAAAAGTGTAGCACTAATTTTTTTTTTTCTGTATTTAGAAAATATTCTATTTTCTGTATTTTATCTTAAAACTACAGTGTAAAAAAAACAAAAAAAAAAACCTGTTTTTACTATGGTGCTAAAAAAATCTTTGTAGTTAGGAAATTTTTCAAGTATTGTAGAAATGCTGTTAAAGAAAATATTGACCTTTATAATTATTAAATTTAATTGAATACTGGATGGCATTTATTTGATTTGTTTGTGCAAAAAAACAAGAATGAGAGCAAATGTCTCTGTATGTATTGTGCAAATTATACCAACTGAAAGTTAGTTATTGCTGTTGTTTTAAGAAGAAAGATACTATTGACTAAATCTAGAAATTTTTTTTATTTTTGAAAAGTGTGGGGTGGAAGGATTGAACCTCCCCATCTTTTGATAAATGATCTCTGCAGATATAAATTAACTGATAAAATTTATCTCAACACACCATCTGTCACCAACCAGTTTTTGATCTGAATAATTACAGACTATAATACAAGGATATTATAATATTTGTACATTATATAATATATATTGAATATATGTTTAATTTTCCCAGTCAGTGTGTGTGTGTGTGTTTTTCAGCAGTGGAAGTTTAGGTTGAAGAAATTGGTGTGGTAATTATTCCTATATATTCTCATTCTTTACTTCAAATTCTTAGAATAAATTTTGTATATTCAGTGAGTCATGTTATCATCTCTTTTCAAATATAAAATAGCATTTTGTAAATATCACCTTAAAATATTTTTGTTGCCAATTCTGCTAAATATTCAATTGTTCCTTTGGAGAAAGTTATTGGTTGTATATATATATATATATTTCATATGATCATCTCAAGGTGTTCAGAATGCATAACTCATTTGTTGATTCTACAGTTTAAGTCAGGCTTATGAAACCTAACCATGATTTACTCACAAGAAAATTGAATGTGTTTATATTAAACCCTACTGGTTTGGAGGAAAATACCAATTTAGAGTGCTTTATTATTTGTTTAAACTAAATACATGTAGATGTCAATGTAAACCGGTTCAAATAGCTACATTTCTCAGGAAAATGAAGTTTTTAATTTGAAGTTGTCACAAAATCCAACATTGTAATCCTACTTTGATTTCTGCACAAATTTATATTGTCTTCTCCACTCTTCAGGCAATTATAAAAATATTCAATATAATTGCTCCACTTCATGTAGGTGGAAAAGAGTATGAGATTTACTCTTTAAATATGTATCACTACAATACATTTCAATAGCATTTAGAAAATTTTAATATATTATTTTTGATAACTGATCCAATGTTAAATAGATTGTTTGGGTTTCAAACCACAAAGGATAAATTTATTGATTGAGGCATTTTATTGCCCATTTTAACAAATTATATTCAAGTTGATCTGAAAAGAAAATGTGATTTTTCACAATACTTTAAGTCATTGTTATATCGACAAATTTTACAAAATTTCATTGATTCTGTGAAAGGTTGCATGTACATACATAATGTATTACGGGAATATAAGAATGTCATTCTTACATTTAATATTAATGGAAATTTACTTTGATTTAGAAATTTACATTATTTTGCCAATTCTCAAAACTTGATGAAAATGTTCCTTGGCTCATTAACTTTATCCTTGCTGATTACGATGTCTTTTGATATGAAAGAATAAATAAAAGCTATTTTAAAAGAAGATTATTGTTTATTATAACTATTTTCAAACGTTGGCAAAAAATAAATTGTAAGAAGACACTGTATGGTCATTAACAAAAGGGTTTGTTCAAAATGTGAGCTACAAATTGGAGATGTCAAAATCAAGCAAATACATAAATTTAAATATCTTGGAAGTGTTTTAAAAGATGACAGAAAATATCACACAAATTCAAGAGCACATTGGAATAGAAAATATGCCTTCAAAATGCTAAACAAACAAGTGCTGAGCTACTATGTAATATTGATTCTCCTATATGGCAGTGAATGTTGGACAATTTCCTCCTCTCAAGATATGTGGTTCTACAGAAAGATGTTGACAATTCCATGGACAAAGCATGTGAGCAGTGAGGAAATTTTAAGAAAAAGAATCTTTAGAATTGGAAAGAGTTGAAATTTTTTACAATACATATTGAGGAAAGAGGGCTTAGAGAATTGGGCGATCACAAGACATTTAAGGCAAGGGATCAGAGGGAAACAGCAAATAACCTACATAATGAGCCTGTGTAAATGTCTGACAGATTAGAGAGTGACAGATAATAAAAAGATAATCATTGCTGAGGACAATAAAAGATTGTAAATTATGGAGAGTCACATTCTGAAAGGATGCAGCATATAAAAGATTGAATAGCATAGATAGATTTTACCATTCTAAGAACTATCCATAGATCTGAGATGTGAAATTATGACAATTATTGTGTCTTGGAAAAGTGTATAACACTGTTGGCATGAACAAGTGTGTGTGTGTGAAAGAGAATTTTTTTTTTTTTTTTGTTACGACAAAGAATCTGTATGTTTATATAAGAACAAACTGAAACCTGCATTCATGGTAGGTTTAGCATTGATTTTTCAAATTTTAAATACATGATGTTTAAAATATTAAGGAATAGCAGTCAATAACATGAATAGTTAAATTTGTATCATGGGTTTTACAAGAACATTGCTTAGTGAATGGACACAATTTTTCATTTTGCTATTATGCTATGCTTTTTAGTATTTTTCTTAATTTTGACTATCAGTTATAATGTCTTTTTTGTAACCTTGAATCTGATCAGTGTAGCTTCTTGTGTGTGTTTTATAGATTTTGAGGCAGCACACCTGCCTGTTGAAAATTTTCATGAAATAAGAGCACCAGAACTTGTTTGGTTAATGCTATCTGCTATCATCTTATTCATTTATCTCTTTTTTTTTTTTTTTTTTCTTAACATAGAATAGCAAATTTGTTTCTTATGATATGCAGATATATAAAAGTTTGTCACCTAATAATTGCATTTTAGAGTTGTATGGCTTTTGTTGATTGAAGAATTCATGAATATAACAACAAAAAATATATTATAGGAACACGCACTCAAGATATGAAGGTTAGTCTATACTTTTATGTCTATATTCCTGTAGTTTTTGTAAGGAGACATAGGAAAAAATGTATTTAGTGAGTTTCTGTTGATTATATTCACTTGTGTCAGTGTCTACCTGGAGAATTGTACCTAAGCCAAAATTTTCTCTGGCACTGATATGTGGATGGTGACAGTGTTAATGCACTTAGTGGAAAGAGCCATATCACCTTTTGTTTAGATCAATATCCTTGGTTCAAAGGTGCCTAAACTAATAAGAGAGCACCTTATTATCTGAAGTGTTTGTTTGGCTGGATTTCCAAAGTCTTTCAAAACTGTTGGCAATAATAGGAAGTATGGGATGGTCATTTTTCTGCATGGCCTAATTTTTCTTTGAAATTCTTCATTAAATCATGGTGAGTGGCTGATTATTTGGTAGTCTTGTTTCAGCATTGCTAGAGTTACTTGCTGGAAATAGTCGTCAAAATGAAGCACCATTTTTCACAGCTGTGCCTGTTCATTCATCCATTTGGAGTTTGTCTACTTCTCTCTTTTTTCTCCTTCCTTTTATTTCTTGTGGCCTCTTTAAACAATGAACTGTTTTTATGGGTATTAAAATCTCCCAGCAAAAGGGATTGGTAGGTAAACTTGGCATTGATAGCCAGCCAGTGGATGTACTAACACACATTGACAGGGAATTAATTCTTCTGTTCCTCCCAGACTAGGAAATTTTGGATCTGTTCCAATGTTTACTCATTTTTTTCTCCTCCTTTACCTTCTTGCTCTTTTGCACTAAAGATAAGATGAATCAATTTTCTTATGTGTGAGATATCTATAGTGATAATAATTTGTATAATTGTTTATGTAAATGGGCATATTTATTAGTTTGCATTGAGTACATGTTAGTATTTGTATATGGGTATAATTTTATGAAATCTTTTACCTATTTTTTTCATTTCATTATTTTTTTTTTTTTGGTCTTTGGCTTTGGCTTGTTAAATTTATAGAGAAAGTCCAGATTCATTTATGTGGATGGTTTCTCCTATAAATATTTCCATAACATAATTCTAATTCATAAGGCATGAAAGTAAATGTGAAAAACATGCATGAAAATTCAGTATATGATTAACAAGCAAAACTTGTTTTTTTAATATTTTGATGTTTATTTACATCATCTTCAAAACACAAATAGAATTTACTTTTTTTTATTTATAGGAGTGCATGCATTGGAAATTAAAAAAAAAGAATGAAAAAGTGGAATGTGTATGGTGAGGTTAAGATAAGAATTGCCAAACCTAGAGATGAGGGCAACTTGTTTTCTATGATTTTTCATTCTGTTCCTTCTATTGTGGCTTATCTGTTCCTCCTCTTAGGCTTATTTGTAATATTCATAGCAAGGTTGTTGTGGAATTTGTATTGTCCCCAACCCTAAAGACTTGTTTGGTTTAAACCTTATTTAGCAAAAGTTAAGTATTTTGTTTCGAAGGAACAGTTTAGAATACAAATTAAACAGACTCATTTAGTTTTCAGATTGGTTACTGTACCTAAATATGAAAGTGAGTATTTTGATTACTGTCGTCTGCAAATTTTCCTTAAAATGTCAATGACATGAACTACATTGTTCAAACTGGCCATTATCCATGAAGTATTGACCAGAGGCTTAGAAGAGCCTAAAATCTAGCTTAACCTACTAGTAATTATCCTTACAGAAGATGTTTCATTTCATTGATGTAAAGAAATCTAGAAAACAAGTAGCATCATATTTTCTAAACTCATTACATACCTGAAGAACAAATATTCCAACTAAAAGACATGAGAAATGTTCTTTTTATGGCAAACTAAGTTACAGGAAGAGTGCTGACTTATTCATGAACTTAGGAGTAGTTTTTCTGCTAAAAGGACAGATTTGACAGTATCAGGGATAATGGAGATGTTGTGTTCAATACCCTCTGTATCCTGAGCACAAGTGTCATTTGTCATGGTGACAAGACAATCACACTTGATCATTATGGCTGTGACTCTCTCATGCACCTGGTGCAAAAGGAGATCCAAACTGCAGCCCTTCTTTAACCTTTTAGTTGCGGTGTCACTGGAAGATTACAAGGCCTTGGGATTTAGTTGTCCTTCAAGAACAAGAGTAGCTTATTTACCGAATGAAGTCGGCAACCCATTTATAGAATGTATTTACCCAAAGTGTCAAAGCCACCAAATCATTCCAGGAGTTGCTTTCTCCCACAATGGAAGACAATTGTAAGAGAATGAAACAGTACAACCTAGAAGTCTCCAAATCACATACCTTCAACACTTGCCAAAATCAGCCACTTTCACTCATGATGAAAATTATGAGAGTACCTAAATAACTGGAATGTCCAACACAAGCACTCTTCAGTAATATTTTCAAACAACTATAGAAACAAATTTGGCATAGACACAGGTGCTTTTCAATGATACTGCAACCCAAGATGTCTTTAACAATGTGTATATGGTGACTGATACAAATCTTGTACCAATCACCACCTGGTCATACAGATCTCATCCTACCTTGCTAGACATATTGATGTGCAGAGAAGACAGCCTTCATATTCACCACATGGAAGTGCCTTAGGGCATTGCATAGGGTGAACACAACTGTAAAAATAAACAGAACTGCTTGAAAATAATTTGAAGATTTACACGTCTCAATTGTAATTGTGGGCTCCAGTGCATCAAATTAGTGACAGTAGCAATTAGCAGATAGCACATTTTCTTACTCTTTGTAGATTAAGTTTAGATTGCTCTCATAAATAATGGATTAATAGGGTGAGTGACAAGTATTTTTGATGCTAGAAGTAAAATCTTGCAAGGTGGTGAATTTGATTGAGTTTGGGAAATTGGTGAGAAACATGGATATCTAGTATCTAGATTAAGGATTATTTTTGTGTATTATTGGTGTAGAGTATTTATCTGTTTTGCATAGACATGTACAGGGTGCGATCTGTAAATTGTTGCCATTTTATATTTTTAATTTTGTGCATGTGTGTTGTTTGTTTTTGATTTCGCCAACTGCACAATATACTAGGATCAGTTGGGCACTGTCTGAGAAAAAGAGAATCCTATAATGCAATTCACTTTGTCAGAAGTTTGGAAATGGCATGCTGTACTGCTTGGCATTCAATACAAACATTTCAGAGTGTTTGGGTGTCAATCTGAGGGCATTGCATAGGATTCAGAAAGAGTTGGATGGTGATTACGAAGGTGTTTGGAGTGATGGCGACATTATGCTTCAATTCATTTTCCCACAGGGATGAAACTCATTACGGAGGCCTACATAAAGTGCCTTCAGGAGGCAGTGCTACCCTCGGTCAAGAGGGTGGCTGCTGGAAGACCCTATATCTGGCAACAGGACTCTGCACCATGTCGCACAAGCAGGAGTACCCAGTGATGGCTGCCAGACAATTTCTGCAACCACATCACCCCTTACATCTGGCCACCTGACTCCCCAGACTGCAACCCTCTTGATTATTATGTGTGGGGCACAGTTGAGCAAGAGGCCAACAAAACTCCTTATAACACCAAAGATGAACTGAAAGCAAGGATTATAGCAGCATTCACCAACTTAAACAAGGAGACCATCTAGAAGAGTTGCAAGAGATTCGAAAGTCATCTGGAGGCCATGGTTGGTGATTTTTTATTGAATAAATTCACTTATTATTATTTCAAGATATTTTTGTAATTTTAGTAAATATATCTATTAAAATGAGATGTCAGTGTTATTTTCATTTTTGTGTAATTTAGACGACAATTTATTCATAGCACTTTATATATATTCTCTTACAAGATGATATTTGGTTCCAGTTCAACCCATGAACTATGAGATTGTTGGGCTGCAATGTTAAGAAAATACCTATATGACATTTCTCTTGGTAAAAGAAATTCCTTGGCTGTGCTAATCTCCTCCTTGAATAATATGTGGTGACAAGTTATATTGTTACATTGTACTAGTAATAAAAATTAATCCTTGTCCTGACTTATTCTTAGGCAAGATGGTGGTTTGGTTTCCTGTTGCCACCTTCTTGGTTTTGAATTCAGAGTAGTCTTTGTCCTAGACTGGTTGCCACCTAGGGTTAGAGAACCCAAGCTACACTGATTTAATGCATAACTGGGAAGGAATAATAGAAATGTATTCATGCCTTTCTCAAGGTAATTAGTACAAAAGTGAATGTAAACGACTCTGCCAGAATTTGAACTCGGCATGGTGATTCTACTTCACATCCTTATAGCCATTATCTGACTTGTACATACAATGTTATGCAAACACACACACACACACACACACATTACAAAAACAATGCTGTATAAATGTGATAATATAGACATCCAAGTAGAAAATGAAGAGGTGGTTTTATCTTTATCTCAAGTGTTTCTATTTGATAGACCAGCAGATGGTTCCTTTTGAAGTTTGGTCTTCTAAGTGGCATCCACTTTAACCAAATAGGAATGAGAAGTAAATGGATTTCCAGAGTATATCTGGGTGCTGGTCTATATTAAGTTATGCTTAAGTTCTGGTCTGCCCTTGCCAGAAGATGGACGTGTCCAGGCGAGTGGTTTAGAACCCTCCATTTTGTATTGCCAATGAGGAGTTGGTGGCAGGAAGAGTTGACATAGCAGAAGTTATCCCAAGTATCACCAACCTACCCATCCAGACAAACAGGCAAAGCCCTGAATAAAACCTCCACATATAATTTGGGAAACAGGATTTGTATTCTTATTTCATGATGTGACATTTGTCTTTCCTTGTGTTGCCTTGTGAGCATGCAGCAGGCCCCACCCTAGCTTTCACTGCACACTAATGAGATCAAGAAACGGAATGCAACATAGGGATAATCATTGGCCAGTTGTTGGAAATCTATGATAAAGGCTGCATTGTATGTTTACACAAGAACATACTTCTATACTTTGTATAATTACCTGCCTATATACACATATTCATATAAAGAATAACCATCTTGCAATAGTACAAGTATACAAAACATTGCTATTTATTCCTGCATGTCTGTAATATGTATACATATGTAACACATGCAAATGTATATAGCATAGTTTTGTATTTGTGCTCTTCATATTTGTATTTCAACAATAGAACCCTCTTATGAAATCTTAGTATTGCTTTATAACAATGAGTTCTTTATTAAACAGTCTGTCCATCCTCTTTGACACTTGGCACCAATGTCCTCTGCTAACAGGCTCTCTAAGGTTAGCTGTTATATATTGCTTATAAAGTTTGATTATAATTCTGATGAAAATTCATCTTTTTGCACATGTCAAAAGGAAGCAGTGACTCAGTATTCTTGTCTCCATCAAAGAAAGTACAAGAGGTCTCTCAGTTATTAAACTGGCACATATTGACCTGGTCTTACTTGACAATGTGACTGTCAATGTCACAAATGAAACCTGGTGTGAATGTACATGATTCCTCCAATTTCCTTGATGTATGTTTAGTAGGCTGACCTTGCCAAATAGCTGTAGCAATGGTGAGAACTTTTCGAGTTACAATATTGTTCATAAAAGAACTACTGACAACTTTGACTTTTTATTGGAAACATTTGCTTTCTTCAATTGTCTCTGCCTCTTTGTAAGCAATTTGTTTTTATTGTTTATATATATATATATATATATATATATATATATATATATATATATATATTTAACTTTATTTTGATTGTTCTTTTGGTTTCATCTGCTTTTTTGTTTGTTTTTCTCTTTTTTTTCTTTTACAATTTTTTTCAACTTTTATGTAACATTTTAATAAAGCTGTGTGTGTGTATATATATATATATATATATATATATATATATAAAATTCTATCCTCTTTTCTCATTTTTTTTTCTCACCAGTCTTTCCCCTCACCATCTTTAGTGTAAAAAATCTTCAGACAGTTTTTCCCTGTCTTATTGCTACATTAAATATTTCCTCTGATCTCTATGCACCATCACCCATCACTGCCTGACAGTCTTGCTGCCATAAAGTGTATCTGTTTTCTATCTTCACTCTCTATTGCTTCCTGGCTAGCCTCTTGACCCCTTGTTTGTTTCAACTGTTCATCTCTTACAATTTCTAATAATGGAAACTAAGAAAATATTTCTTTCTCCTTCTAAAATAACAAAAGGGCTGTCTTTGTTTTAAAATCATTAAATATTTTATAACTTTATGCAGAATTTTGCTTGCTTGTAAAAATACATTTCAGTATCTATTTCAGAGGTTGATAATAGGTTACAAAAACAACTTCTTAGATATATAAGTAACCATTTTGTTGCCACACTATCTGTGGATGATTAAGTTAATGTTTGTGCAGTAATTATCTGATCTTGTGAGCAAATTAATTGAATACTCATTAAAATGCTTTTTGTTGTTTATTTTGGCTTCAACTACTTTACATTGAAAAATAATTAAACCTGAATTTGACAGCACTTTTAAGAAAAACTACTGGGCACAATATGTGCATGACAAACAACATCTGGGCTGAATCCGTTTTGCTCTTTGCACATTTGCCAAATTTTCACTTGCTACCTTATATCAATTGACTCTTTTATTGCTATAAAATACATGCTGCCAGAAGATTGTAGAGTACATGATACTTGTAAAATCCATAATTGCTCAAAGGTTGGATAGCTTCACAAATAGAAGCTATCACACTGATGTTGTTTTGACAGCATTGCACTTGTTCTATGCTTCCTGTAAGAGAACTGATGCATAAATAAAATGCTTATGTATTAATACATTGGTTTATACTTGCCTATGTACATGTAGAGGTCATCATACTGCTTGTATTTCCTTCAAATACAAGTTCTACTGTCAGAAGTAACTCTATATTTACTGATTCATTCACGATTTTATTGTTAAGGAAAAATCTATACCATTCATTTATAATAAAAATCAGTAGAGGGAGCATTACAAATACTGTAGCAAGTATGAACACATTGATATTAATGTACAGATGCCTGGATTATATATACATTCTAGGCATGATCACAACTATGCAAAATATAAAAAAAAATGTATCCATTCCTTGGACAGATTTAACTGAGTCAATAAGTGAGTTTAAAAGTTCTCTTTAACTGAATTAGCAAATTATAATAATATTTTTATTTTGAGCACAATGTTTATACTGATCAGCTCTCCAACATTCAAATTGATGTTAGCCATAACAAAAGTTCAAATACTTCTTCAGATGATTTATTAAATTAGTACACTTGTTTATATTAAAGAGGCAATGCTGGAAACAGTTCTGTTAAATTGCACCAACTATTAACTGTTATCAAGCTGGGAAAGAACAGTAGGGTTGATAGAAAGGTGCCCAAATTGTAGACTTTGGTGGTAAGTAAAGACTTAATTATTTATCCTATTAAATAGAAAAGTAATCCAAGAGCAAGTCTTATTGGACAATCAGCATGGAGTTCAGCTTTTATTTAGCAGTTAAAACAGTGAGCATTGTCTGTCTTCAGCAAAATACAAAGTGCATTAGAAACACCTCCCACATAATGGTGAGACATTAAGTGAGATGAAGAAATTATTGCCACTGTCTTACCATTATTTGGTAAGTATTTCTGTCACACACTGTATAACCTTGAAGTGAATTACTTTGTGGTATTGTTAAGCTATTGGGAGGTGAGATGTTGGCAATGAAAAGTAGATAATAAATACCGTTATGATCGCTAGACTCCCTTATCTTCTTTCTGGGAAGTTTTCACTTGTAAGAAATTTGGCAGTGTGCTGAACTAGAAGGAAATTAGATATTTTTCAGTTGTAGATGAATGTCATCTTCATCACTTTCAAATGATTAAAATTTGATTGTGCTAAAACTGCTTTTCTAACTATTGGTTAGTTGGCTTTATTTTGTGATAATTAAAATAATAATAACAAAATAGGTGATTACTAAATGGGAAATACATCTGTGGAAGGTAGAACTGACTGGTTGAAACCTTGTGATTGAAACAAAGGTTTAAATGATTCATCAAATTATGTATACTTCACCTCTGAAATTTAGATAATAGATGAGAATGCATTTTGCACGGCATAACCAATAGTTCATTTCTGAACAGAGCCAAGAATTTCTAAAGCACTCTGTGAGGTTTAAACTTTTACTCATTGTTGTAAATCCAGCATGCTAATTATGCTACTCTTTCAAATACTTAGACTGAACATTTGTAGATAAACCTACTAAAAAGAAATCAATGTGGACAATATATAAAAGATTCTTTACATATTTCCCCAACCAAATGCTAAGAAGTAAATTTTAAAACCATACATT